ATATATATATATATATATATATATATATATATAAATATATTTTAAAATTATGGAATATATTTAGTTACATGTATATGGGTTATCTCGATCTTGTTTTATACACATATGATTACATACTTGCAGTATAAATAATTTGGAATGTGAATTATTAAAAAAAAAAGGAAAAATCCTCATATTTTTCTCATGGACTATTGACTTGTTTGGTTTGCAGATTCAACATGATTTGTATATTTGTCTAATCAAATTCTATATTTAACCTATTTTTTTAAAAAGGATTATTTAATTAGTATTTTTAATTTAAAATTTTTAAAAAAATTCATATCATTTTCTAGAAGAACTTCACAATTCTATGTTGCGCCAAATATAACACAATAGTGTAGCACTTGCTTCTTTGTACAATTGTTTACATTTTTTCTTTATTTTTATATTTTTAATTTATTTTAATATAATATTCAGACAAAATATTTTTATTGAGTGTAAAACAAATTCAGATTATAAAAAATATATTTTATTAAAATAATCTTTATATAAAAATTATTGTACTTATTTGTAATTATGTATTGATAATTTAAATAAACAAATATGTAAATAATATATCTAAGTTTCTTTTCCCCTAATTTGCAATGAACTGTCCCTCGCCTTTCCAAAGAATCCTTTATTTCGGGTTTCAGAAAAAGGAATATTTCTTGATAGTAAAGAGGAGATCTTAATTTATCCGAATTACTAACTTGGATCTTGGCTAATTTGTAAAATACATATGATTGTGATACGTGGGATAAATAATAACAAGTATATGAATCTTCATCACTATTACTATAAGTATGGCGTGACTTTGAAATAAAACGGAATTCAATTTATCTTTTTTATTGACTGTAAAACAAATTCAGGCGTATTTTAATGTACTTCTTCATTATTACAGAATTCGTGATTAATATATGAATCGGAAGGAATACCCTTGTCGTGTAATCTAATTATAAAAGAGTCCCGAGTTGCGTTCCAAAGCTGTAAGCATTTCAATGGCATTCAAACATGTAATGACCCAAGGAGGGTTTTTATATTTTGAATATATAAGTCAAGTTTACTTAGTCTAAACTTCAAATGCATTTCGTCTGAGATTCTTATTTGAAAATCACTTGATCTTGTGCTCTAAGAGCTATAGCATATATTGTAAGTATACAACAAAGGGATATTATTTTATTAGACTTATATGGACCAATCTCTAAGTGAGTTTATTTATTTTACTTTTCGGTAGGTACACTATTTCAGCTGCTCGGGCGTGCTTCCTTGATGAGGATGTAGGTTCTCTATCTGCCGGTAAAATGGCAGATTTTGTGATTCTATCTGCTGACTCATGGGATAAGTTTGCTGAAGAAGGTTCTGCTCTTGTTGAGGCTACGTTCGTTGGTGGATTCGAAGCATACTCCAGGGACATTGACAAAGATTAATAAAGTAGAATTTGGCGAAAAAATGGGAATATTAAAAATATTGATGTTGAGGAGCACGTTTTGCGGGTCATGTCAGGCGTTTGACCCGGAAGAGAATTAGACCCTCCTTCGATTGTCCTCTCATCTGTTTGGATTTCTGGGAACGCACGAGACGTGAATACAACATCTTGATTGTTGATAATGTAATGTTGTCCAAGAAACATTTTCTGTGGCCGTGTCACGAGTCAGTGTGATGTGGATTGCTTCATGCTTGGTGGTTATGGTTCGTTTGGTGTGACTGTAGCCTTTGGAGTAATTTTGGGCATTCAGGTATATATACGCGTGACTGGTTAGAGACTTGTATGTCTCAATTGTTCAAGTGAAAAAGAAGAAAAAAATTGTGATACTTTTTATCTGAAATTGTAATACATTGCTGCAATTTGTGGTACTTTTACATGATGGAGGACTTGTATATAAATTACAATATAATACTCTCAAGTCATATTTGGCATAAAATGTCCAAATATTTACATGCATGAAAAATCAAAATTACACATATTTATAGAAATGTCATTACGTGTTTGACTGAAGTTGGACTCTTTGAATCGTGTCTGGAGCGTTGATATATTGCATCCAACGTTAGAATTCATTTTTATTATTTTCATTACGACTCTTTTTCATATAATCACACTTCTCTATATATATAAATAATAATGACATTACACATCAATAATATTTGTGATACTTTGAAGACAATTAATAGTATTTTAATGTAGTACCATAATATTGATGAGCATCATGTTGCACTAATAAATTAATTTACAAAATAAATTACAGAAAATATATATGACAAACATTCATTACTTTTAAATGTATTACTACCAAAATTAATAGTCTAAATTTACCAATATATAATTTGGTATATCAATTAATAAATTAATTTATAAGTTTTGAATTATTGAAATACACATGACGAACATCATATTTTTTTATATAATATTACAAAAATATCCAAATCTATCAATATATAATTTGGTAAAGGCAAAATTGCAAATGTAGTCATGTTGGTCTGATCAAGTGTCGTTTTTTGTCCTAAGACTTGAACATTTTTGCTATTTGGTCATATAATTTCAAATTTCAATGCAATTTCAGTCATTTGGGACTGAAAATGCAACAAAAATTAAAATTACATGACTTAAATTGTTAATAAAAAATCTTTTGGATGAATTTTTTTATTAGCAATTTAAGTCCTGCAATTTTAAATTTTATTGTAATTTCAGTCCTTTGGGACTGAAATTTAGCAAAATACTAAATTACAGGATCAAAAGACAAAAAGTTAAAATTTTGGAACTAAAAATGCTATGGCGTTAATCCAGGAGGATCAAAAATGCAATTTTTGACTTTGGTAAATCAATCGATAAATATGTCAAAGTAGATTAATTCATATGGATAATGATATTTACGTGAAACAATACTAAAGAAGTACTTACTTTTGATTGAAAGCGTGATAAATGCTTTAACAACTTAGTCATACTTTCAAAAACATCATGAAATTTTTAAATATATATATTTATATAATTGCTAGCAATCCATTAAATAAAATCTCATAAGTTTTACTTTATAAATTTTACCTCATAAATTATATCTACGTGCAGCTTACTTTTCCAAAATAGGTCTGTTAATTATCTTATTAACTTGTTACACATGATACACACCTCAGTGGACTTTTATTAAATTTTGAAAATGACAGTGCACATTAACGATTATTTAAATGTAATTAATATTAAAAATATAACTTAAATTAGAGTTTATAATAATGATTTTTAACTCATCTACCCACATTTAATTAAAAGACTAAAATATTTGGAACGTTGAAAATAAACTACGCTACAATTATTTATCACATATCAAATAATCATATATATGAGGTAAAATTTCAAATATATTATCATAGAGCTATCCCATATTGTTATACGAAATATTCATAGCAACATTTAGATTTGTTAAAGCGTTAAATCAAGGATAGTATTTTAGTTTCATTTTAAAAAAGTGCTAATTGAACGATTTATTTTTCAGTTAACTAATATTATTGCTACATTATATCTAAAAATTCATAATTCCAGAAGATATACCTAATAAAACTATTTATAAATATTAAAATACTATCTATCATACAAATAAAATTAAAATATAATTTTATTTATTTATATTATAAATACATGTTCCTCACATAATTAATAAGTGAAGATACTTTTGAGTTTTGAACTTGGGTGCGCAAGTGTCGGTAATTAATTTCGCGGTCGTTTTTTGAATCAATCATCGGCTGCATACCATCTCATGCCGCCACGCTCCCTTTCTTCCCGATCCTTGGCCGTCGGCAATAAGACTCGGTCAATCCAAAAGTAGTTTCCGCCGTGACAGGGGCAGAGCCACCTATGGGCTAGGGTGGGCTCCAGCCCTAGGTAAAATAAATAATAATAATAATAATTTACATTTTTACATTATTTTTGTTATTAGCCCATGTATTTTTTAGGGGAATTTTTATTTATACTACATGATTTAGAAAAAATTATAATTCTCCGGGGATTAAATTTTATTTGCAAGTTTACCAATTTCATGTTAATTAATTATACATATACACTACAGTAAAATATTTTCAGTTACCATATTTAGTGTAACCACCTCCTCAAATGATGGGATTTTCAGTTACGGATATATTGCGTGTCAATTTCTTTCCATCCCAATTCCACGCAGTATATATTGCGTATATATTCAGTATATAAGCTAATTAATATATCTGAAAAAACATGTATTATCTTCATTTTGAAACTGGTTTATGTATATATGTAGTATGTTTTATGGGTTTTTTTTCGATCTGATGTTTATATATATATATATATGTATATATATATATATATATATAAGTATACCTAACATATGCCGAACATATACAGAACATATACTATTTTCTTGAATTATATATGTATACCAAACATATACTATTTTCTGGAATTATATATATATATATACCGAACATATACAGAACATATACTGAAAATAATTTCAGATCCAGGCGTCGAGTTGTTCATAATTCTCATGAATTTCATTCCAATTTCGATCTTCACCCGTCTGGTTGTTGAACGACTCGTAGCCGTCGTCTTCTTCATACTTGGGCGTCGTTTCCTTTTATCCTCAGTTTGGTCATGGATCTTTCCTTTCGCATTGGATATTTACGATTCCTTTGTCTTTAACCGCTGATTTTGGAATAGTTGAGTCGTCGTGCAGATGAGCCGCGGTTGGAAACCCTTGTGAAGGATGACGAGAACTGACGGTACAAGTTATTTGCCATTTCGTTTCAATTTTTCTTGAGAATTATTAGATTGAATAATATGAATACATTGAGAAAAGTGGAAGGGGAATATGGTGGTTAATGACGAAGAAGAAAGTGGAAAAGGAATATGGTGGAAGAAGAAAGGACGACGTGTAAGGTTTGGAATATGGTTGATTTTGGATAAGGATGAAGGTATATGTGCAAATATATTGAGTGATTTTGTATCTTTACAAATGAATATTAATTAAATGTAAATATGTAATATAAAATAAATTTGATAGTATAGGGTGTAAATTCCTCTTGATAACAAGCCTATTTGTTTGAATTAACCCAATAATAAAAGCCCAAAAAATTAAAACCCATTTACTTTCCTTTTTTATTTTTTGGCCCACACATGCAAAATCCCACCTCAATTTTGGCCCACTCATCCCCCAAATTCCCCGGCAACTTTCTCCCGAACGAAGTGAAAAAAAAAAATTTGACTGCGGCTTCAGCCTTCATCCTTCAAGCAAACCGAGCAGCCACCAGAGTCCAAGATTATTGCTTCATTGTCTCGTCGGGCATCGGCTTCACTATTCCTCGCCGCCAATCCCTCCGCCCCGACCCCGGCCCTCGGTTTCACTCCTCGCCGCGACGCAGTCTATTCTCCTCGGCTCCACCGGCGCACCACCGGACCCGGTCCTACGGCCACTTACCTCGCTGGTAAGAAATGGAACTTCCGCTTGTGATTTAGATTGGACATGGTTCAGAATTAGATTGATTTTTTTATGTCTTGAAGTCTTGAATGTTTGTCCACTTAAATTATAACTTATTAGCAAACCCTACCCCTGTTGGGAAATAAGGTCGGATAAGATGGAATAACAACAACACACCAATGTGAAATTAATAAAAGACACGAAGATTTGTTAACCCAGTTCGGATTAAATCCTACGTCTGGGGGCGAACCAAGCCAGGAGAATGAACTAGAAGAAGAGGATAAACCGAATGTTACAATTCACACAAGCCCGTATGAATACACTCTCTCTACTCTTTCTCTCTCTCTCTCTCTCTCTCTCTCTCTCTCTCTCTCTCTCTCTCTCTGTATTGTTATGTTTTTGTTGTGATTTTTCTGTTGTGTTTTTGCTCATATTTATAGCTGAAAATTGGTGCAAATATGGTGCAGAATTGGTGCAAATTTCGGCTGCAAATTTAATGCTCAGCCTTTAAATTTAATGCAAAGCCCCCAATTTGTAAACAAAAGGCTGCTAATCAAAACAAGTGGGCGGCACCCACTTTTTGACTCAACAATCTCCCACTTGAGGACTGATTTCAATATGTCCTCACACCTTTGTTATCTCCCACTTGAGGATTGATCAACATGTTCAACATGTTCATCTCTGCTCCTGGTTCTGCCGGGTTTGTCTGTTTTAATCATCAAGGCCGGTCGAAGCTACACACAGCTTCAACTTTTCCAAAGTTACGCCTTGGTCAACATGTCTGCAGGATTCCTATCTCCCCGGACCTTTTTCAACTACAACATCTTCTTCTCTAGAAGTTGCCGGATGAAATGATACTTAACCTCGATGTGCTTCGTTCGCGAGTGAAATGTGGGGTTCTTTGCCAGATGGATTGCACTCTGGCTATCGTTGTATAGAGCCACATCCTCTTGAGGTCTCCCAAGTTCATTCAAGAAGTTTTGCAGCCAAACGAG